AAAAGCCCCGACGCGTCTACAGACCGGTCTTGCCCAACACGTCGGCAAGCTTGTCGACATCATCGTCCTTCTTCTGGGAAACCTTTTCGTTCTCGGCCGCCTCGTCGTCCTTGACAAGCTTCTCGGCCTTCTCTTCCTCTTCCTCCTCCTCTTCTTCCTCCTCTTCCTCGCTCTCCTCCTCCTCAAGTTCGTCCAGCTCGTCAACACCCCACATGTCCTCCGGGTCATCGTCCTGGCCGTGCTCCTCCTGACGGCCCTCCAGGATCTCGCGCAGTTCCGTCACGTTGTTGTCATCCTCGTTGAAGATGTTACCGTTCAGCTCAATACGACGCAGGGCAGGAAGAGCAGTCTTGGTGGCGTGCAGGAACTGCTTGACACCCTCGGCGGTGATCTCGTTGTACTGAAGACGCAGCGTCTCGACCTTCTGGTTCTTGGCCTCAGCCAGGGCCTGAGCGACCTTGACGCCACCACGGCCGGACAGCAAGCAGTCACTGACACCGAGCTCGCGGAGAGAGGGCCAGCTGGACACCACACCAGCCAGAGCGGTGGAGCCCATGATGGTGAAAGTGTTGTCCTGCAGGTCGAGAACCTCCAGAGCAGAGCAGTGACGAAGACCATCCTTCAGCAGCATCGAGATACCCTCCTGACGGATACCGTTCTGTGTCATCTTGACGGAGCGCATGCCGGCAGCGTGCACCTCGTAGGCACGTGCCCAAGCCGCCATACTGCCATTCTCCAAGCGATTGCGACCGCAGACGATGCTCTCGAGAAGAGGCACCTCCTTGCCCTCCTTACGGGCATCCTCCTTGCGCTGAGCCAGCTCTGTAAGCGCCTTCGCAATGTTCGAACCAGCCTCGGGGCCCATGCCGTTGTTGTTGAGGATCAGGTGGCGGAGCGGGGTGTGGCGAGCAAGGAAGTCGACGAGGGGCTTCTGGGTGTTGGCGCCGAAGGCATTATCGGAGAGGTTGACGGTGTGGAGTGTGGTGATTTCGAGAAGGGCATTAAGGAGGAAGGTCAGAGCGTCGGGAATCTCGCTCAGCAGACGAGAGGTGAAGATGTCGGCAAGTTCAGCCACTTCGAGGCTCTTTTGTGTAGAAAGCACAGCGGCGAGACGCTCGCAAGCAGGAACACCCAGAGTATTTCCTCCGAAGCGGATCTCAGTGTAGTCGGTAGCTTCGAGGAGAGGCTTGATGTGAGACTCGATATCCTCAGCGGAATCGAGCTTGAGGCCTTTGCCCTCGATAGAGAAGACCTTTGGAGGGGCCATGGTGGGGTAAATTTCAGGGGTGGAATTGCACAGTGCGATGCAGAAAGGGTGCAAAAGAATCAAAGTAGTAGGACTCGATGGAGATCCTGGCAAGCAACGGCTGAATGGTAGCAGGAAAAGCAAAGACAATGAGCGTGGGAGGCAATGCGACCGTGGAGGGGCAAAAAGTGAAGAAAGAAAGAAAGACTTGATGAAGCAGCGGGCCGTGATGCAGCATTCCCCTGACAACCCAATTATTTCCGTTTGTTCCCATCAATTTTCCACGACCGCCGCTCCGGCCGACTGTAGGCACCATCTCCGCCGTTTCCGGGCAATCGCATCATTATTCAGCATCTTTTCGTCTTGCTCTGCCTCCGACTGCTGTTCGCTTTCGTCGTCAATCCTGTCGCTCTCTATCCATTGTCCTTCACTGAATCCGTTTCTTTATTGACATTTAATTCTTCGTCATGTCGTGGTTGTTCGGTTCCTCCAACAGTATGTATCTCCCATCCATGCTCGCCGCATGCTCCATACCTCTTGTCTCGCTAGTATATCGGAGTCATTCAGAGCTGACAATCCTCCCTGACAACAGCTGAGAAGGCTGCTGCCCCTGCTCCTGCCGAGTCGGCTCCCGCGGAAAAGCCCAAGGTACGCTCATGACCTATGCGACACAGATAATCAGTCAGATGTTCTGACCCAGTCACAGCCATGCTGCGTTTGCAAGACCGAAAAGACCGCCCGCGATGACTGCATGCTCTTCTCCAAGACCGACGACCCCACACAGGAGTGCAAGCCCTTGATCGAGCAGTACAAGGCCTGCATGGCTGGCTACGGCTTCAAGGTCTAAGCTGCACCATACCCGACTGCTACCGGGACAACTGCACAACGAGGATGATACATAGAGTTCAGCGCATGCAAATATGGTGTTCGGTTATGGGTTTATTCTGGGTTACATGTATTGTATAGGTCATCGTCCGACGTGGAGCATCTCCCTTCTTGTGCAATAAATGTATATTATCTATGTCATTATGTTCTGGGATATTGTAAGAAGAGAAGGCTTAAGCAACCGCTTTTATCTCTGCCAGGCGCAAGAAGCACAACGCGCAGTCTATCGCCGATAAGATCTGCCCAAGGCAGTCCCGAACATCAAAATGGGTATCACGAGAGAATCAAGTAGACTGAAAGGAAATCACCGCCAGCAACCTCACTGGTTCTTCTTCTCCGTTTCCTCGGCTGCCTTCTGGTCGATCCTGCGGCACTGCTGGATCAGCTTCCAGAAACACCACAAATATGCAATTCCAAATCCTCCAGCACCGATGAGAGCATTTAGCACCACCCAGAGATCCGGCTTGCCAGGAGGGGGTGCCACGAAGGCTTCAAGAACGTGCCACGCAATCATGGCAAGGTAAAAGCAGGCGTGCAGAAGTTTGGTCAGCACATGAAGCTCGGCGCCCGGGGTGGTGTCTTCCAAAGAGGCACGGCGGCGGAATGTTCCAAATGAAGTTGGAGGGAGTCCCAACAGGTAGGCCCAAAGCAAAGTCATAACGAAGTAAGGAATCCGAAGTTCGTCACGCTGCAGAAGAGGATACATGGTCCACGAGCCAAGCATGTTGGCCCAGCCCACCCAGGCCCGAGTCTCTCTACTTAGTCCGCCATCTCCGGCCAGGAGAAGAGTCATGGGGAGCAAGGGGAGGAGAACACTCTTCTCATGCACCTGGAATGAGAACAAGAAGAAGCCCCAGGCTACACTTGACAGGGCTGGGAGAAGTAGCGATGCACGCGGGTGACGGAAGATGATGGCGCAGGGGACAGCAATGGATGCCAGCGTCGCTCCAAGGGACATGCGTTGGAGCAGAGTGGCCTCGAAGCGGTGAAGCTTGTAGAAAGTATGGATGGCACACCACGCATTAGCAACCTTGTCCTCGAACAGACCACGAGCAAAGGGGAAAACGCGGTGGATAATCTGAGTCAGCTGGAAGATGACTGCGTAAAGCACGGAACTCTTGTCCAGCTCAACCGGAAGAATCTGCAGAAGAGGAGGCGGAGGGGCATATGCCAGGGTTGCTTGCGCCTCGATTCCAATCGCACCAATGAGCATTGGTGCAAGCAGGACAGCGAATGCGACAAGGGTGATAAGGGAAATGCAGATGAGACGGAGGAAGCGAATCTTAGGGAAGATGCAGACACCAAGGAGGAAGGCGAACATGACCGGAGCATAGTACAAGGCCATCTGCTTGAAACCCAGAGCACCCACGAAGAAGATGCAGGCCCACAACATGCGTCCAGCCAGAATGGCATCCAAGCTCGCAACAACCAGTCCCAGCATCACCGTGTTATATTGGAAGTGTCCGTGGTCAATGAGGATGGTCGCCGGCTGTAGGAGGATCGCAGTGAGGGCGATTGAAGCAGACCAAACCGGAACGCTCTGCATGCGAGTGAAGCGGCGCAGGAAGGTAACGACGGCCGGGATGTAGACAAGGTATTCCGAAGCAATCACTGTTCCACGCATGAACACTTTCAACAAGGGGTCTTCGATGCCACGAGACTGGTCCAAGGCAAACCATGCGGGGTCAAAGAGAGAGCCACTGCTCAGTCAGTCTATAATCACGACCGATGGGAGTAGCATGACGTACAGTTTTCCAAGCAACCAGCTGTGGTATGCAGTCAACGGCGGGTAGTCCAAACCCCAGTATTGCAGATCGTACAGGTACCATTTGGAGATGGGCAGATGAGTCGTGATTTCCATCCAATGCCTCTGTGCTTCAAAGTCACCATGCATAGGGGGTACTCCGAAGCCTGTGACCGTTAGTAAGTGACGCCTAGGTATAGGAGATGGTAGTGATTTGCGTACCAGAATATCCCCACAAACTGACAGCCCAGCGAAACAATCCCACTGCCATCAATATCAAGGGTAGCACGAGCCATTGTGAGACACCAGCGCGAGCAGACCAGAGGAAAGACACCAATGGGAAAGCTGGGGAGGCTTTCCCTCCAGCGTCAACAATGAGAGAATTGTTAGAGCCGGCGAAAGACGAGGGAAGCTTTCTCTTCTTCCGCGGACGGTATGAGGACGGAGGAGGCGCCATGATTCACGAGCAATGGACCAATTCAAAAGAGTTCCATTGACTGCGTGTGAATGTCGAGCAACCGTGACAGGTCCAAATGAATGACAGGTAGTTGGAGTCGATATTTAGTGGACTGGCTGGATGTGGTTGACTGCGGAGGGACACTCTGGTTCCAACGGTCTGCTGGTGGACCAATGAGAAGCCTGGTCGGAGTCGGGCCCAGTCGGGTTAGTCTCCCAGCCAGTTCCCCACTTAGTTCCTGGGCTAGCCTGGCTGCAGCAGGCGGTAGGTGCTGTTGATTTTTTTCTGCCAGCCTCCAAATTTTTTTTGCGTTCAGTCGCCTTATCAGAGCTGCTCCCCAGCTGGGATTTTTTCTTCTTCCTTCATTCCTGTCCTACTCTTCCCCTTCACCTTTTTCCATCATTTTTTATCACTCTTCTTCACTTGGTTGTCTCTTCAACTAAGTGCTCATCTCTTTTCATTGTATATCTAACGGTGCGCTTCAACAGACACTCTGTGGGCTTCTTGCATTGAGGGCTGTGGGCTGTAGCATACTACATCTATTCTGTGGGATCTGTGGGATACTCTCGTGGGTTTCATATCATAGACGGTAGCTTCCCTGTCGTCTCGTGTGGGCTTAGACACTGTCGTTGTGGGTTACCTGTGGGTATTTGAAAATTTCCATTACAAATCGGGTGATTGTGGGATTATAAGATCTGCCGCACATTCCTAGCTTTTCTCTGTATACTTGCTTAGTTTACAGTTTATTTGGTTCGTCTCTTCCCTTCTTCCTATTACTCTGTCTATTGTCTCTTGGACTAACCACTATTCCCTTCAGATCAAAATGTCCAAGACCAAGTCCGTTACCAAGAAGGGCTCTGAGAAGCCGGTTGACAAGGCCCTTAGCAAGGTCAAGTCTGCTGGTGTGACCAAGTCCTCCCAGTCCCCCAAGGCCAAGAGCAAGCAGATTGCTCGTGAGGTTGCCTCCAAGGAGAAGAAGGACAAGAAGAAGAAGAAGGAGCCTACTCCCAGCGAGTCTTCTGAGTCCGAGTCCGACAGCGACGAGGAGATGGCCTCCGACTCCAGCTCCAGCAGCGAGAGTGAGGACGAGAAGCCCGCCAAGAAGACCGAGAAGAAGGGCAAGAAGGTTGAGTCCGAGTCCGAGTCTTCCGAGTCTGAGTCTGAGTCTTCCGACTCTGACAGCGATGAGGAGATGAACGACGCCTCTAGCAGCGAGAGCGAGGAGGAGAAGCCTGCCAAGAAGACCAAGGAGGAGCCCAAGAAGGCTGCTAAGAAGGCCGAATCCAGCGACTCTGAGTCTGAGTCTTCCGACTCTGACTCCGAGTCCGAGGATGAGAAACCTGCTAAGAAGGAGACCAAGAAGGCCGAGTCCGAGTCTGAGTCTTCTGACTCTGACTCCGACTCTGAGTCTGAGGAGGAGGCCCCCAAGAAGGCCGCTAAGAAGGAGTCCAGCGAGAGCGACTCTGACTCCGACTCTGACTCTGAGAGCGAGGAGGAGACCAAGGAGAAGAAGGCCGAGAAGGTATGCTGTTTATCCCTTTCGTTTGTTTGTTTAATGCTAACGTCCCCAGGAGTCTTCCGACTCTTCTGACTCTGACTCCGACTCTTCCGACTCCGACTCTGACTCTGAGTCTGAGGAGAGCGAGAAGCCCTCCAAGAAGCGTAAGGCTGAGGAGGAGACCTCCGCTACCCCCAAGAAGTCCAAGACCGAGGACCCTGCTCCTGGTGCTTCCGCCAACCTGTTCGTCGGTAACCTGTCCTGGAACGTCGATGAGGCCTGGCTCCAGTCCGAGTTCGAGAGCTTCGGTGAGCTCTCCGGTGTTCGTATCATGACTGAGCGTGACACTGGCCGCTCTCGTGGGTGAGTACTTTCGTCTTCCATATTTATCAAGCCATTGCTAAACTCTTCTAGTTTCGGTTACGTTGAGTACACCAACGCCGTCGATGCCGCCAAGGCTTTCGAGGCCAAGAAGGGTGCTGAGATCGACGGACGTGTCATCAACCTGGACTATGCCACTGGCCGTCCCGCCAACAAGGACCAGCAGGGTGGTTTCAAGGACCGCGCCAACGCTCGTGCCCGTTCCTTCGGTGACCAGGCCAGCCCCGAGAGTGACACCCTCTTTGTCGGAAACCTTCCCTTCGACGCCAACGAGGACTCCGTCGGCGAGCTGTTCGGTGAGAAGGGTAGCATCCTCGGTATCCGTCTGCCCACCGACCCCGACTCTGGCCGCCCCAAGGGTTTCGGCTACGTCCAGTACTCCTCCGTCGACGAGGCCCGCGCTGCCTTCAACGAGCTCCAGGGTGCTGACCTGCTCGGACGCCCGGTGCGTCTGGACTTCAGCACTCCCCGTGCCAACAACGGCGGCGGCGGTGGTGGTCGCGGTGGTGGCCGTGGCGGCTTCGGCGGTCGCGGCGGTGGTCGTGGCGGTTTCGGTGACCGTGGTGGCCGTGGCCGTGGTGGCTTCGGTGGCCGCGGTGGTGGTGCCCCCAACAAGGCTCGCGGTGGTATCCCCGAGTACAAGGGCACCAAGGTCACCTTCTAAGTCAGTGTGTAAGAGTACTAACCGACGTATACCTATGTTTTTCTAGACTGCTTTTTGTTTTGGGCAATGGGTTATGGTTCCGGGGTTATTGTCATTATTCCTCACTGTTTCTGGTACCCCAAAAGTTGTCTGCATTATGTCACGCTAGCTAGCTAGGTAGCTAGGTAGCTATGTGCCTGTTTTATCTAGGTAGCATACCATACCAATTTAATGAATGGCTATGACCAGAATGATGTTACTTTTCTTGTTTTCTTTTTTTCTCTTAAGGGCTGGTCTTTGTTTGGGTGAATGGGGTGGCACGGATCGACCAGATCTGCTGCGAGTGCGTGATGGTGGGCCTATCAGCGGGAAGAGGCAGCGGGGGGAACAAGTCAGCTGTGCAGTGGGAAAAGGCTGGTTGAGGGTCGGATGATGGACCAGCCCTCGTGCTCGCCTCCCCCTTCTTATTCTCCCCGTCTCTCTCGCTTGTTGCTCGCGTCTATTGTTGTCCTTGGATTATCCCGTTCAACCTGAGTGAATAGAGAAGAAGAAGCAGCAGCAGCAGGAGGTATCTTCTTTTATTGAACTCCAGGTTGGATGCTGGAGAACTGACAGAGAACTCAAACCTAACTCAACCTACAATTTCATCCATGCTTTCTTCTTCTTCACAGTAACTGCCAGCATCCACTTGCCCACTTAAGTACTGATAAGATAATCTTAACGGATCCTCCCCCCAATCAACCATTCAAAACTGAACTGTTGCATCCCAAACCCCGCCCTTTTCTGACCGCTCAGCGTATGAGCTGAACGGTCCGCTTGCATTCCCCGTGGTCTGAGGATTGACTGACCGTGTGTTGCCTGCCTGGTCACTCATCTCATCTCATCTCATCTCATCTCATCACCGCACTTCTACTTCTACCTTCTTATTTATTCTTCTTCTTTCCTTACTCTACTGCTTCATCTCCTCCTCCCACCCCCTCTCGTCACTCTCTCCCGTTACCCTTCTTCCTCTTCACATCATGCAACCCAACCACTATGACCTACTGGGTCAGGTGCACGATGACCCTCGATCGGTCGGGCGACTGAGGCGAGAAGCCCATCAGCCGCCGTCGCGCGAGCCTCACGCCTTCCAGCAGTCCCGGTCGCCTGCTGCTGTTGCGCCCACGAGATCCGAAGGTGCGTCATCCTGGTTTTCTCCAGATATTTGCCCTACGCCTGGCATGTCTGCACCTTTCCCCTGCATCTTCATTCACTCCGATCTGCATGCATTGCCAGTCCTCTTTCAAAAGTCACTATTGCTTGTACCACCACCATGTACTCACTACGTTATTATATAGATTCCTGGATCGAGGTCTCCTCACAGCCCTCATCCTCTTCCCTCTCCTCCGCCGGCACCAACGACGATATTATCACCACGGGTCTACGCGTCCAGCAGGATGAAGCTGGTGCATACCATCGCAGCCGACGGCGCCGTCTGCAGCGGCTGGCTGCCGTCACCACCGCCCAAGTCGACTACTCGTCCCGCGAACAAAGCAGTAGCCAAGACGAATACGAGGAGAGTGAGAGCGAGTCGGACCGCGTCCTCAGCAGTTCGAACGAGGGCATGGTCCGTCAAGCTTTACCCACCCCGTTCGTCCCGGGACCTGGCCCCTCTTCGACCGCTTCCGATGATGCCAGCGATGAGGATGATGATGATGATGATGATGATGATGATGACAACTCGACGGCGTTGGGAATGCGTATGGGTTCAGCTCCCTTTGTTCCTCAGCCCAACGTCTTCTCGCACCCACCTGCATCTCAGAACACTTCGTGGAGGCCTACCGGGGGACACCGCTCACAGCCAAGTGAGGTGTCCAACTCCAGCCGTCGCACAGCGATCCGCAGAAACTCTCAAGCAAGTATACGCTCCACACGGAGGTCCTCCCAGCAACACAGTCCATTCAATATGATCTCACCGTCCCACCACGCGGATCACGACGCCGCTCTGCGTGCCAGTCTATCCACATTGCTCTCCTGTGCCGCTGCGGCCCGCGGTCTGCCCAAATCCGACCCTCCCCCTTCACAGGCCAGTCCTTCTCGAGGCCACCCATCTTCCTTCCGCTTAGTACCGGAGTCAGTAGCGATGGGAGGAGAAGTTGGCGAGGAAGCCGTAGGGACGGAAGCAACTGTCCCCACTCGGACCCCGCGGCAGGGACCCACTCCGCAGCCGGCCGCATACTCACCCCGCGATGTCCAGTCGGCCCCTCGAGCCAAGCGGCGGTCCAGCCCATCCAAAGAACGTAGCCACTCCTCTGCAAAGAAGGGCCGTCGAGCCAGCATAGCGGATGCTTCGACTGCCAGTCCCACCGTCATGACCTGGGTGATCAGCGCGGGTGTTGTCGTCTTGTTTTCAGCCATCAGCTTCTCCGCCGGCTACGTGCTGGGCCGCGAAGTCGGGCGCTTGGAGGCCAGCACGGGAATGACCGTGGCTGGCGATACTGGCGTGCCCGGCCGAGCAGCGGCGGGCTGTGACCAAGAAGCAGTTCGAGGTGGTCTCAAACGTATCCGCTGGGGATCAGGAACCTCTGGGTCAGGCATCATTGCGTGACTGACCATATACACTGCATCTAGTTCGTTTATATGAGTGCTAACGATAATGGTGATTACGGGATATGAAGCTATGATTATTTGGTGCGGTACATTCGTTGGCTGCTTTTCCTATGTCTCCTCTGTTTGGAAGGACGGATTGCATGCATAGCAAGGCTTTCCGGTCGTCGGTCTATGAGATGTTCTTGGATCATTTGTGGAGCCGCGGGAAAAGTAGTTGTTGGCTGAGATTAGGATTGATGTTTGGAATGGCGTTTGGAGTGAGTATTTAGTTGCAGTTATACCCCTTTCCCCTTGACAGCTAGTCAATACACGAGTAATTCGACATACTACTTTAGTTCAAGCAGTAAGACACAACCAGAACAGTAGTTAGATATCCTTGCTTTAAATAGATCGAGCAGAGCACAACATTACATCTAATCTAATCCATTCCAATCCTCTCCCATCCACAAAAGCCTCCGAAACCCCAACCCCAAAGTTGAACTCTTTATTTCCGTAGTCTCACCCTAATTTACGATAGAATGCTCAATTGAATATAAGAATAAGAATTGGATTGAATTGGATCATTCCATTATCCCGCTCATACCCTTCCATTCCCAGACACAAGACATCTCCAATACATCACTATACAAAGGACACCCCCTTCTCACAATAATCCAATCCCCACCATAAACACATCAATCCAACAACAGTAACAACGAATTAATCCTATACCTTTCATCGCTCTGAATATGTAGGAATTGTGTTCCATCATCCCAATACAGAAATGGCACCGTAGCCATGACATCCACCCACCCACCACCCACAAGCGACAAACAACAAACATGATCCTCTTAGCATCCAACATGCTAGACATAGTAACCACAGACACTGAGGATACACACGGCCTGTTGGAAGTTCTTCCCCCTTCCACATCACAGTAAGCAGTGCAGTGCAGTGTGATTCTTCGGGCCCGTGGAGTTTGTTTTGATTGCTATCGCATCGCATCCCACTCACTGGGTAATGCTTGCTATGTGGACCCCGGAGTTATTCTTTGTATTGTAGAGGAGTGGAATAAACCACTGGGGTTCTATTCGATATACTTCGTCATCCAAGGAGACTGGTGAGGTAATGATCTATGTAGAGTAGTGGGATTTGGAAGAAAGGAAGTGTAATTGGGATCCTGCTTTCGAGGATCTCGAAGAGTTGTTGATGTAGAGGAGATAATCGCAACCTCAGATTTCTATTTGATATCGCGAGGAGAATAATAATGTGACAAGCACCGCGCTGCATCTATGTCTAGCTACTGCTGCACCTGTATCATATCATTTGGTAGGGAGAATAGGATGGTGTTGTACCCAAGTAGATATTTTTTGGTGAGATATAGTATAGTAAGAGTTGGTAGGAAGGTACACAAAAGTATCATCCAGATGCAGACACAAGTCCATGATTCATTGAAGGAGATATCATACAACAAGAACAAGACAAGACAAGACAAGACAGGATGAAGTAGTAACAGATATCCGAACCCTTTCTTTTCTCCGAATTGGAAGATGACGTCCAAGGACAGACATCAATCCGGACGATTTTCGTCAATCGATCCCAAGATCAGACCCAGCGTGATACAATTTGTTGGACAATGTTGGTAGAGTCTCGTGTTGCGGGTGATCTGAAGGACTTTATCTTGGAGAAGGTAGAACCGACACCGCTGCGAATCATATATGATTGGTGTGCTTGGCTAGCAAGTAGCTGTAGCTGCTCGAGTGTCTCTGGAATCTAGGACTTAGAGCCCCACGGAGACAGTAAATTTTACCAAAGATTGTCTCTCTGACGACGAACATAAATTCTGCAAGCAGGTCATGAGCCCGATACGCCTCAGTTCTTGTTGACTTTGTGTTAGCCAAAGGCCGAGTTCATACGCCGTGGGATACTTGTGATTGAAGCCAGGCCTAGTAGCTGCAGCTATAGGGATTTTTGATAGGAAGGTTGTAGTTCTTAGCAAGCAGAGTAGCCAGCAAGTGTGGACATTGTTGTATTCGATAGGCATTACATCTCCAGCCGTAGGCAGACAAGGTAGCAACTTCTGTGGAGTGTAGGTTCATGTTCCGATGTATGTATATATGGTGTTTTCCGTCATCGGAGACTTGGAGAAAGGAAGTTGGACTGGTGGGAATGCCTTCAAGCGTGGTATGTTCTCACTGCGTAATTCGGAAAATCCAATCTTCGATATACTCGTTGCTTGAGGACGTAGTATGTTGACTGACTCGGCCAGGACTGGAGAGTAGGATGTGCGGACTTGAGACAGTTTTGTTTTCTTGATGAAGAAAAATCGACAAAGAATGTTCAGAGGAAACAACGAATCAATCCCATGCTGCATCAGACTTGAACATCGTTCTTTTGCTTGGACTCGGACACCGGCTGAGCGAGATCACACGACTGAGGAACTCACGCCGCCCCGTCCGTCCGCTGCGTCGTCAAAGGTGACGAAGGCATTGGAAGGCCAGGAGTCGGATCGATGGAACCTGCTGCTGCTTCCCGCCCAGCCTGTATTGATCAACTTGGACTCTCTTGGTTGGCTGAGTGATGGCACGACTGAAGAACTCACGCCTCCCGTCCGTCCAACGCAGTCTGTCAAATATGACAGAGGCGAGAGAAGGCCGGGTTCGGAATCGATGGAACTTGCTGCTGCTTCTCACTCAGCCGGTAAGTCGAGTAGCTGGACGGGCCTCGTGGCTTTGTTGCAAGTGAGTGAGATGGGCACGACTGAGGAACTCACGCCGCCCCGTCCGTCTAACGCAGTCTGTAGATGACAGAGGCGAGAGAAGGCCAGGAGTCGGATCGATGGAACCTGCTGCTGCATCTCACCCAGCCTGTAAGCCGGGTAGCTGGAGTGCCTCTGGCGTAAATAAGTGGAATGGCATGACTGAGGAACTCACGCCGTCCCGTTCGTCCAACGCAGTCTGTAAATGACAGAGGCGAGGGAAGACCAGGAGTCGGATCGATGGAACCTGCTGCTGCTTTTCACTCAGCCTGGAAAACCAGGGCAGGCCCGTCCGTCTGTTCGTTGCTTGCATCAGTTGATGTGGGAGATGTCCAAGTTGAGAGGCCGACGTCCGGAGCGTCCACGATGTTTTTCTGTCGAGAGCAGGAGTATTGGGATCTGAGGAGGTTGGTTTGTTGTTTTTTGGTGCTTGCCCTTTCCCACTTTCCATTTTCTTTTTTCTCTTATTTTTTATTTTATTCTATTTTATTTTATTTTATTTTTTTTTTCTCTCGGGTGAGGTTTGCTCCTCTGCGTGCGTATGTTTTCTTCTATTCTCTTTTCTTTTGTTCTTTTTATCTTTAACTTTTCTTGTATTCTTGTTTTCGTTTCTGTTTTGTTGCATGTCATTCTAGGAGACCGACGAAGAATCTAGGTTGCGAGCGTCCTGTGATGAGCTTTTTTGAATCAGTAAAAAGAGACCATGGATAGGAATACCTAGAAAGAATCATACTCACTGGAGGGTTCTGGTTGACACTGCATCGAAAATGCACACTCAGCTTCACATTGAAGAGTGGCCCATGACGGCTAGGTATGATATTGGATTGATGTCGAACATAAGAGGGTATGAGTCCGAGTCCTGGAGAAGGAGGTGAGTGGATAAGAGGGTGAGCAGGTCGGTGATAGTGGTTGAAGACTGCAACCTGGAAGTCGAGGTTGCCGATGTTGATGCTAGCAAGCAGTTGTATCGGTTGAAGGACTGGTAGCTACTGGAACCTCTGTCTGGGATAGCCAGTCAACCAGTAACGTCTCTTGGTGCCGTTTGAACAAGGTCGGAGTAATTAGTTGTGAAGTGAGCTTTGATTGCTATGTGCTTCAAGGTGTGCTGCTAGCACCCTCCTTATCAATTGCTGGGAATGCAGGTCCCGTGCAAAGAAGGAGACAATGAGAAAGCTGGATGATGCTTAGAGAAGCACTGCGCTCTATTCTCTTTATGTTCTGGGGACCAGTGATCCGCATAGGAGAGTTTATCACTCCTAGCAGTAAAATAAGTCCGGAAAGAATACTTTCAGAAACTATTCTCCATTTGTAGAACAGTCTTAGCCGTGGCTTCGAGAAGTTGGAAGACCATTTGAGGAACGTCGATGAGGTTTCACTTAGAATGTGCGAGTGTTAGTCAATATTAAAGAGGCACAGCGGCACCACTCTGAAGGGACTGACCTATTCGGCATTGATCATGTCCACGCCAGGATCGCTGAGGTTGTGGTTCGTGTCGATTGCCAGAGGAGCGACCGTGATGGAGAGAGTTGATTGCGTCAAGATGAAGCGCAGGACCAGGGAACGGAATACCCTGGAAATCATCTCTTCAAGGTTTCTTTTGGAAGATGCTGTCAGTTTGTCTAGCACGTAGTAAAACTGCTCAGTCAGTTCAACAAACGATACCACAAAGATAAACGTCATCGCCCTGTGATAGGAAAGGAGCAAGGATAGACACCTACCAACTCTGTGTGCTGTGAGACACTGGAGCTTGCGGTCTTCATTATCTGTGAAGATACCAACTTCCTCGTCCTCTCTGTTGATGTAAAATCCCTTCAATGGTCAGCAAACATACCATTCAACGGGTTGTCATGAGTAGGTAATACACTTCACGAGGCCTGAAGGCCACCGAGGAGAGCCATGAACTCTGCAAGCTGAGTATAGGTAGCTCATAGTGCCTTTATCTTGTTCATCACGAGATTATTTCTTCAAGAAGCAATAAATATAAAACGCCAACGTCACTGAGTGTTGGAAGAATTGCGATGGAGAGAGGGTTAAGAGTAGAGGAATGAAGTGAGGAGAGAACTGAGTGAGGAAAAAAAATGAAAAGAGGAGAGAATTGAGAATGGATTCTCGCCTGTATATATAGCTGAGTTTTTTCTTGTGCGGCCACAATTTGTCATGAGAGATTCACTCGGGATGTGAATATCAGCAGTGCGGCAGCGACAGTATCCTTAGTGAATGATTCCCAGTGTTAATCTCTGAGCACTGGAATTGCATTTTCTTCCATAGTCCTGCTGTTGTGTGAATCTCGACAAAGGCGTAATGCAGCGAGGGTGAAGATGCTTTCGGCCTCAAGTCTGTCGCCGTGAAGGAGAGAGACAGCATGATCAAGCTTCCCATTTGGAATTTAAAATTCATTACATGCGCCTTGGGGTGTAGAGTGGCGGCGTTTCCAAGTCCCTCAGGTCTTCATAGATTTGTTGGGCGGAAAAACTGACACCAGCTTTGCTTTGAGTAGATTGCCCAACAACGCGAGAGAAGTGAATCCTTCCTATAGGTATCAAGGCAACACTGAATCCTGTGAATGTAGAGCAGATTGCCGTCCCGCTTGATGAATCGCCACGCCGACAGAGGCCAGTGTGACAGGATTTTCTCCACTATCTCTGGAACTCCCAGCGATATTTGCGCTGATGTAGGCCCTTTGTATCCATGATCTTCTTTCAAGGTTGTGAATCTTTCCGTTTGCGTTTCGGGGACTGAACAATCATCGTTCGATTTCACGCTTGATGAATCTTGGGATTCACCGAGAGCGTTCATATGGGCTATACGTTTCCATCCTTGTTCCTGCCAGGCCCTCCCAGCTGACATCCACTATTTGCTCGAATAATCGGTTCCAATCTTGTATGTCGTTGAAAGCCATCTTCCGATCAAATCCCATCTTCGAGTGTGAATATCTAGATCGACCCCTCGAGTCCCCGTCTGATAGGGGATGAATATAGACAGAGCTGTTCAAATTACCACCCGTATTTCCAAGTGTTATATTCACCCGAAACCAGGCCATTGCCCATAGTACCATATGAGCTTTCTTGCCTCGTGGCCCAGTTTGTTCGAGCTTGAATTTCACCTGCCTAGTGCCCCTCTGGTTGTACCTGTCCCTGAAGAAGAGGACGCAGTAAAAGACGGTGACGCGGACACCCATCTAGAGCAACGTGAACAGCCTGTCAAACGCCATATGTTTACTGTTCACGATATCAAGATCGTTTCCGCCCACCGACGGACGTTAAGGTGTTCTTTGGAGGCAGCGTTCGAGCCCGGGTAACCAAGACGGATCAACTCCTTACCCATTAAACAGGTTTGCGCAACATGCAAGCCAGGTAAGACAAAGTAGTCGAGGAGAGCAGAATGGGAGACACCGCATGTGTTATAGGTGTAGCAAGGCTCACTGACAGGCTGTCATCTCTGTTGGACAGGCAGCAAGCACCAAGGAAGTCGAATAGATTGTGGATCAACTCAAACCAGACGCTGCTGGCACACCCTGTCGTGCTCAACCACCGTCGTAGTCTCTGATGCCGAGGTATGGTCAATTGGGCAATTATCGATCCCAGGGTTGTTTTTGCTACCACCGTATCGAGAGGAGCTGACCGACATTGTTCTCTAGAGCCAAAATACAATATCTTCTGATAGGTACATTTTCTCTCATTGTGTAGTCCGAAATTTGAACCAGGCTCACAGAACTTGAACTTGGTCGCCTAACACCGAGTCGTTAGAGTGGTGATTACCAGAACAGAAACGCAGTATGCCCGAAAATGTCATGCTTGACTCTCCTTTCCATGCTTGCGCTTCTTGCGCTTCGCTGGATTACTGACGCCTTGGGCTAATCTTTCTTCAGAAAATTTGTCTCATTTGTAGCAACGTCAGTCGCTCCAGGCATAGGACAGCAATAACCTGTGCTCCTGCCTCCCACACCGGGTATGCTGCTGGTGAGTTGCGCGATCAAGAGCGCAGTATGCCTGGCCTTATCATGAGCATCTGCTGCAGTGGAGACAGCTGAGTTAGGGGCATAGACTGCATGATGTATGTATAGATGTTGCACCAGTCTCTTGTCAGTTGCAGGCCTGCATTTCGGGCTAGATCGTTGTCACTCCACAACAAGCCCATCCAAGGCACAATAGGCGCAAAGTCCCCGTATTCCCCTGTGTAGGGCCCCACTAGGTCTTCCATTTTTTGTTATCTGTACAGGTGTAGAAATTAAGATAGAAAAGCAACCCTAATCCTCGAGACCAGCAGTCTCTGGTGCTAACCTCGCGGCAGGTAATATAGGATAAGCCAGGACTTGGCTCGTTCCGCATATGATGCTTTCTCAACCACAGGAGTGATCGTACTTCGCGCGAACAGGAGGAAGATTCCATTCATTTGCTGATGCGTCGAGCATATTGCGTGTAGCATTGTACTCTTCTCTCAGCTGAATCGATGCATATAGTCCAGACCATATCAGGTGAATATTATATCTGGCCCCTAGTCGGTCGGTGACAGCACGTCGCATCGACTTCATTGGTGAGAACTTGTGCCCAGTATTGTATCATATAGCAACCTTGGTACCGCAGAAAACATACAGCATTCGATGATGAGTGTGCTGCTATGAACACCTAAGGCAGGTCGCTCACGTCTTAGATGTGGTACGGGCATTGGCGAACCCGGTATGATTCTAAACGAAACGCGGATACTGTTTAGCTCGGTGAGGAGATTATCTGAACATATCAATGGCCTGTATCTCTTCCAAGGATCATGTTTCCTTTCCTATGGCGCGAAGAGCATCATAAGAATATCATAACTCTTCTGGATCATAGCAATTGATATGTGCAGAAGGCATCATGTCATTGACTCCAGATGTCTTTGTCTTGGAAGCAGATCTTTTAAAAGTCGGAGCACCGACAATAGGGTTTTGGAGAAGTCATAAAAGCGTATTATCCATGGCTTCTCATTTCGATATAGGTCCTGATGGACGACGGTGACCCGACCGACCACCCGGGTTAGGGGGCAGGATTCTGCGTATTGAACACCACTTGAATGGAGTTGTCCGGTTGCAGGCGCATGAAAAATTTATTGGAGAGGCCAGGAGGTAAAGAAGTTATAAAAAAGGAAATAAAGGTCCTGAAACCCGGAAG